CACGCATTTCTCGTGTAGTTTCTGGATATACTATGAAGTCACCATTTTTATCTGTTTCATGATTAGCAGTAATTACCGAAAAGCTCTTAAAGGCAGGGGGGAAGGTAACTCTATTGTTTTCCACCTAAGTTTTCTGTTTGGTCTCTATTTTAACACTATTTTTCCTTTTGGCCTTTTTTTTTCTTTATTCTTACCGCTGACCGTGCTGGCGTGCTGGTCATGCACTTGGATCAACGTATATTTTAAGCTCAAGTCCGGAGTTTTATCTTGGAAGAGGGATTTAAAAGCTCTTGACCTGCATACTGGCCAAGCTTATGACCAGATAAATACCATAAGCTGTCAAGAAACGTCCCTCCTCTGAAACAGCTGAATTTTTTTTCGACGTTAGTTGACATCATGACAATCAACACACAGTACACCACAAAATGCACTTATTTACATCCAACACCTACCCACCAGTGACCCTCAGACGAAAGTTAAACTTGCCTTTTGCACATCGTCGTAATCGTCAGTATTATTACCCTAAAATCTCCACTGGGTTTGCCGACAAAAAATAATTAAACGTAACCTTTTATTGGTTTTCGGGATTTAATTACAAAATTACAGGTGTATGCCTAATACAGCATTAAAATGCGGTAAAGCAACAAGATTCAATGCTCACAGTCTCTCACAAATACCTGTCATTTAGCTTCGTCTTTCAATTCTACAGCTAAGCAAACTTTGAGAGGAATGATATGGGGTTCCACTAGATCTGAAGAGCTGAAAATACGCACAATGTAAAGTATAATACATCCTTTGATGAACCTCCTATCGGTGTGTCTAAACTCCTCAGTCTTGCTGTGCACTGGCCCTCAAAAGTGTGACCGGTTGTTGTGACTGCCCGTAAAATTTGCTCGACGATAGAAAGGAATCTTTAAAATTCATTACAACACTGGACATTTCATTACAAAAAGGTACTTAATTCTAGTTTTCTATGACCATAGAAACCTTAAAATCTCCAAATCCAAGAAATCAGAACAGTATTTCCGTGATAAAATCAAAATTTTTATCCTTCTCTTTAATGAACACTTTGCTTGCCATTTTGAAAGTCACTGACGCGAGACGTGACGTCATACTGGCAGGCGGACTGTACCACAGATTTCCTTGGAGACACCTCCCCCCCCGCCCATCCCCCCTGCTTAAAAGATTCATAAAGTGTTCTTTTGTAAAGGCGTAGGTCGCATAGCCTGTGTACCGACGTCCCCCTTCCCTCAGAAAACAAAATCTCTTTTCCAAATTTTTGAGGGAGGGGGGACGTCTGTACACAGGCTAAGGTCGCAAAAATGTGCTTTTTGTTGATAATGTTTAGAGATAGAGGTTCGTCGAACGCGCGCCTGAATAAAAGTGATCATGACTATCAGTTTATTTTTAGTAGTATTATCGAAAAAATCTTAGAAGACTCATGAAAATTAAAAGTTCTTTTGTACAGTCATAAGTCGCAAAAATGTGCTTTTGATAGAATACTTTAAGAGTTAGAGGTACGTGGAACACTCGTGGATAAAAAACCCCACGACTGCCGTCGGCGCACTTTTAAACAGGGGCACCCAACGAGAATATAGTTCAAAACCACTTAAACATGGCATTGTTGAACGTATTTTAGTATTTAAACGGTAGATATAGGCATATTTTCATCCACTAAAAATATTTCATCTGTTCGGATTTCCTAGCTGAAAGTCTAGTGATCCGAAAATTATAGAGATCAAAACTTACCTTTTCGAAAATTTCAGCCAGAAAAAAGGCTCCCGAAAATTCTAGGTGACCTTTTTAGGGTAACAATCCGTTAAAAATGGGCAATTATACGATTTTGGGGGGGTTCGAAAATCCTAGGAGAGGCAGGCAAGCAAGAAATTTTACAACAACTGTTTCGAAATTTCTAGATACCAAATCGTCTTCCGAACAGATCTTTTCCACAAATTATCGTTGGGTGCCCCTGTTTTAAAACTGAGGATTAATGATAACATGTGTTTAGTTTAAGTCTCCCATGACTGCGAAATGTGACAGCATAGGCCACGTATTGTTAAAGGCTGGGTCGTAAATAAAACTCAGAAACGGACCATTACAAACGTCATTGGGAGCGTAGGCACCGATATACAACTGTACAACTAACAACTGTAAATTACTGCAGAACCGCTAAGTTAAAGGAAGAGGTTCTGCCGTAAAAAGGAAACGAATAAAAGGGACAATTATAACAATCTGTTGAAATTTTTGCGCCACCCCAAGGTTTGACAGTATTTTTGCGTTGTCAAAAGAAGCAAAGAAAAAAATGCATATTCTTGTGGCACGTACGCCCTTCAGCGTCCACTGCAAAATACAATTCAAAAACTTAAACAGGAAGTTTAAGAGGCAAGGTGTTGTCTTTTACACAAAATCAATTAAATGATAATGCCCCTTTGAAATGTTGTTGTCGCTTTATAAATTTTGGTCACCTATGTTTAAATACGTAAAGGGCGTATTTCTACGTGCAAATAATATGTATCACCAGAGTTTAAAATGTCCACTCAATAATTATATTTTTTCATATTGGTTTCCAGATATCTTTTTAATCGATTTCTAAATACAACCACCATGGCTTTAAACTGATAGCATTCTTTAGTCTGTTCAGCTTGAAAGGATGGCCATATCAGTCTTAATAACAATTCAGGATTGAGCTGAGGCTTCGCAAGGGGACATAGAAAATTAAGTTTCAAAAATTTGGATCTTAACTGATCAATGTACCAGATATACTCCGTTGTACAGAAGGCGCACAGCAAACATAAACTCGACAATGGGGAATGGATCGATCCAGTCTTGGAACTGTTTTAAACTATTTAATAAGAAGAGACAAAACTACAGTGATGATAAATTTTTAGTGTTCGCAGATGAAAAAATTTCCCGCGCCCTTGACAACAAGATTCCCCGCTAATGAATATAACATTTCACACACCAGTGTTTAGTAAAATTTGCATTAAGCACGTATTTTTAACTACATTTTCAACAGTCTTGGAGCTGCTTCAAACAGTTTACGGAGAAAAGACAGAATTACCGACTAGTGATAAATTGAGTATGTGATTTACGCTGCACCCTCAAAGTCTGAAATTGTGATCAAAAGAAACCTTCTCTTGTCATGAATTTGTTGTAATGAAACATATATATCCTGTGTGAATAAATTACACTTTCTAGGGAAAAATACCTATCGAAAATACCCTTGGTCGTGATCTGAATTAAAAGAAAATTAATTAGCTATCCTCCTTATTTATGGTGTTTGTAGCTCGTGTACTATTTTTTCCTTTTTATCTATCAATAAGCAGTTGATGATTTTTAAACAAAGATATACGAATAATAACAATTATATGGAATATCTCCTAGTTATTCTTAAGTGTATTTGTTAAGATTGACATCTACTGTTGTAACTTCTGCTGTTCAGCACGTATATTGCCTTTTTTAATTTGTCCTCCAATCACATTCGTAGTTAATAATTAATTGATACAAAAGTCTAGCCAATTATTTTCGATTAATACCTTCCGGTAGATCGACTAACTGACATGATTTTGAAACTGTAATTTTAGTACCTTCCTCTCTGTTATTGTTTAAATTTTGTTTAGGAGCCAATATTGTGTTCTCTCTCATTGCTCTCCTTGTGTTATTTCGACTGGACAACCCAAGCTTTTAAAGAGCGTCAAGGAGCAATTAGGAAAGAATTTCTTTCAGACAAAGTAAGTACCGTAAAATTCCGAAAATAAGCCCCTCCATGTATAAGCCCCTCCAAATATAAGCCCCCCAAACCGGTGACGCAAAAACTGATCAGTAAAAGGAGTCTGAACAAGCCCTAGTCAGAAGAATCTGCTAGTTTCTCTTCGCCGACAGAAGACTTTTGGTTTTCCCATTTTTAGCTGGACCGAGAAGTAAATGTTATAAAAACTTCATGTTTTATGCACACGTGATAATATTCACTTATTTTTTCCTCATATTCACCTGTTAAGCCTGGGCTTAATGGCCTGAAGGCAGCTTCGCCTCTGCTTCCTGTGGTTGACTGTCAAACTTGTCTAGTTGATGATGGTACTACCAATTGCAAAGATATCATTTTTAATGTGTTAAAACACACTTGTTTAATCATCTTCTCAATCGATTTCTTAATACAACCACCTGACCTAAATGAAGTCTTTTGGTTGGTTTATAACATACTAATACCCCACTGTTTCTGTCAAAAGGTGAGTCGGCGGATAATGCCGGAAATTTACAATACAAAGTCACTTTTTGAAGGCCTGAGAGGACAGCTGTGCTGTGGCTTCGCAGGGGGCTTACAATTGTCAATAAAAGTTCTGACTCACACAGGATACGCAATATACAGTTCAAAGTTACTTGACTGCATGTGTACGACTCTGTCGATACGTTGCAAAGCTAAGCATGAACTCAACGGCGAACGGCTCCAGCGGATCTTGGACCTGCTTAAATTTTACTGTGTGGAAAATCGGAGGAACCGTTACCTACTGTCTGATCTTTATCGTTTCACTGGTCGCAAATTCTCTCATTGTTATGATCGTTTATAAAACGCCGAACTTAAGAAAACCGATAAATTTTTTCATCGCAAACATGGCCTCATCTGATCTGCTGTATCCAATATTCTGGATACCTTGGTACCTGTCACTCTTGCACGCCAACTCGTTTCTTATCGGTGGTCAGCTTGGTCAGGCCTTGTGTAAGCTTCTCCCTTTCTTTGGTAACGTTTCCTTTACCGTTTCCATTCAGAATCTGATTCTGATAGCAGTGGATCGATTTGGAGCCGTGGTGTTTCCACTCCGTTCCCCACTCATCAGATCCAAGCTGTGTCCTTTCTTCATTCTCGCTACATGGATAGTTGCCGCAGCGGTCAGTTCGCGATTCTTGTTCGCTTACGAGCTCGTTGAATACCCAGAGGGAGACTGGTGTGTTACGAAATGGAAGAAAGCATTCGAAGAGTCATCGTCCAGTGCCAGTTTCTTACTAGCTTTCTCCATTCTGTTTACGTACATACCAGTGCTGTTGCTAGTCATTCTTTACTCCATCATTGTTATCAAGCTCAAGACACAGGCACACCCAGGTGAACAGTCCGCCAACAGTCAGCAACAGCGGGACAGAAGAAAACGAAACGTGATTCAACTGTCCATTGCTATGGTAACAGTGTTTGTGCTTTGCTCGTTACCTGTCTCTATCAACGCTTTAATCATATTGTATCAGGACACGCGTTTCTCTTGTAGTTTCTCGATATACGCTAGAGTCACCTCTTTTATGAGTGCCACGTACTGTGCTATCAACCCAGTTATCTGTTTCATGTTTAGCAGTAATTACCAAAAAGCTCTTAAAAGACTCATAAAATGTTCTTTTGTACAGGCGTAGGTCGCAAAAATGTGCTTTTGGTTGAAGATGTTAAGAGTTAGAGGTTGGTGGAACACTCACGAATAAATGTATCATGACTACTGATCAATGTATTTTTAGCAGTAATTATCAAAAAGGTCTTAGAAGACTCATGAAATGTTGCCCTGTACAGGGGTAAGTCGCAAAAATGTGCTTTTGACTGAGTATGTTAAGATTTAGAGGTACGTGGAACACTGGCGAATAAAAAATCACCACCACTGCCGTTGGCGTACTTAACTGAGGATTAAGTCTGGCATGATTGCGAAATATGACAGCATAGAAATTAGGTCACGTATTGTTTAAGGTTGGGCGGTAAATAAAACTCAGGGACGGACCATTAGAAACTTTATTGGGGGCGTAGGCAGGTAAAGTACAACTGTACAACTAACAACTCTTAATTACTGCAGAACCGCGAAGTTATAGAAAAGGTTCTGCCGAAAAAAAGGAAGGAATAAAGCGGACAATTCTAAACCTCTGTTGAAATTTTAGCGCCACCCCGAGGTTTGACAGTAATGTTTAGGTCGTCAAAAGAACTTGAGCAAAGAAAAAAGCCGCATGTTTTTGTTGCACGTACGCCGTTCGCCCATTGCAAAAAAAATACAGGAACCAAAAACGTTAAACAGGAAGTTTAAGCGGCAAGGTGTTGTCTTTTACACAAAATCAATGAAATGATATTGCCCCTTTGAAATGTTTTTAAAGACATTTTTTCGCCTGATATATTTTGATCACCTATGTTTAAATACCTAATGGGTGTATTTCTACATGCAAATAATAAGTACCACACCAGTTTTATAATGTACACTCATATTGGTTTCCAAATATCTTTTCAATCGATTTCTAAATACAACCACAATGGCTTTAAAATAGCATCCATTGTCTGTTCAGCTTGAAAGGACGGCCATGTCGGTCTTAATAACAATTATTGTGCTAAGGCCTCGCAAAGGGGACAAACATTGAAGTTTAAAACGTTTGAAACTTAAATGATGGCCTCGATGCATATACTGCGTTGTACAGAGGGCGACAGACAATGGCGGGTGATCCAGTCTTGGAACTGTTTCAAACGAGTTACCAAGAAGAGACAAAACTACAATAGTCATAAACTGTTATCGTTCGTAGATGAGAAAATTTCCTGCGCTCTTGCCCACAAGACTCCCTGATGACTCTTTTACGACTTCCACGTGGGGCTTATTATTAAGAGCCACATTAAAAATGTTCTTGGCCTAGCGTTGTATTTTTGCTATCTATTTGACGCAAATTCAACATACGTTTTCAAATGGGCGTTTTGAACACATTAGAATAAACTAACAGCTCTACACTAGTGAAGAATTTAATAATAATAATAATAATAATAATAATAATAATAATAATAATAATAATAATAACTTCATAAAAAAATACAATCCTGGTATTTACATAATACTGTTAAGCGATGAAAATGCAAGCAACAGACTTCCAAAAAAGTCCTTCGTCCGATTTCATTTGCGCGGGCTATACAAAAGGGGATGCTCTTCAGTGGTTACTGTATGATATTGTTTAAATTTTGTTTAGAAACCAATTCTTTGTTCTCTCTCTTTGCTTTCCTTGGTTTTATATTGACTGGACAACCCAAGCTTGAAAGTGAAATTTAAGACAGAAAATCGATTTGACAAAGTAAATAACTCGAAGGTTCAATGTTAATGAGTTTCTCCTAGCCAATTACAAGACTTACTCAAGCATTGATATTAGTTTTAAAGCGTTTGAGTCACTCTGGTCATTATAACAGTTCATGATTGCTACAGCGTTATCGAGCGATAAAATTGTAACCAACAATTCGTAACAATTAAAAGCAGTCAAAGAAGGCGGAACAAGCCTCGTCTATTTAATGAGTAAGAACCTGCTAGTTTCCCTTTGCCCGACAGCAGACTCCTGCTTTTCGAATTCCCCGTTTTTAGATAGATCGAGAAGTAAATGATATAAACACTGGCTGCTTCATGCACACGTGATACCAGGCATTTATTTTTGCCTCATATTTTCCTGTTAGGCCTGTTAATTGCTTAACGGCAGGCAGCTTCTATACCGTGCTTCCTGTGTTTACCTGCAAAATTGTGTACTTTATGATCGTATTGCTAACGATAACATTTCACACACCTGTTTAAAAATGGTGTTAAGCACGTATGTTCGATTATCTTTTCCGAGAATCGTTTCAGTCTCACCGTAGCTACATGACAGGTCTATGCATTTCTCGTGCAGTTTTTGGCTATACTTTGATGTCACCATGTTTATGTCTAACGCGTACTGTGCTATCAACCCGATTTTCTTTTTAATATTTAGCAGTAATTGATTACCTAAAAGCTCTTAAAAGACTTATAAAATGTTCTTTTGTTCGGGCGTAGATCGCAAAAATGTGCTCAGTTTGGCTCGCAAATATATCATATATCATGACTATCAGTGTACTCCAGCACTCTGAGAAGGTTTTAATATATGAGTGCGAGAAATGACAGCATAGGCGACGTATTGTAAGAGTTTGGGATAAAACTCGGCCGCGGACCGTTAGAAACGTTATAGCGGCTTGGGCAGGAGAAGTACAAAAGTATTCGTTCATGCAAGGGAAAATTTATTAACTGAAAATTTAAGGGAAATGTTAACGATATAAATTCGAATAATAATAATGGTATGAAATATCTCCTAGTGACTCTTAACTGTCTGTCTATTGCTTTAACTTCTGCTGTTCAGCACGTATTGCATTTTTAATTTGTAATCACACATTCATAAATAATTTATTGCAAAGTTTAGCCAATAAAAAATGCTCAACACCTAGGTTCGGTAGATCGACTAATTGATCTGACATGATTTTCAAACTGTTATTTTAGTACCTTCCTCGCTCTCATTGTTTAAATTCTGTTTAGAAGCCAATACTTTGTTCTCTCTGTTTGCTCTCCTTATTTTCTATTGACAGGACAACTCAACCTTAACCCCCTTTAAGGTGATATTTAAAACAGGAAATCGTTTTCACAAAGTAAATGATTCGAAAGTTCCATATATGCTAATAAGCTGCTCTTAGCCAATCTCGAAAGACTTCTCAAGTATTGATGTGAGTTAAGCGGGGGAGTGGGGTTTTTTGTAAAGTGCCACATATAATTGTAGCACCGGCAGAAGGTTCGTAAATATCAAAGGGAGTAAAAGAAGTAACAAGCCTTCTATTTTTGTTGAAGAAGAACCTATTAATTCTTAGTTAGACTGGACAACCCAAACTTAACCCCCCTTAAGGTGATATTTATAATAGGAAATCGTCACAGTCACCAAGTAAATGATTCGAAGGTTCCATATATGCTAATAAACCGCTCCTATAGCTAATCGCAAAAGACTTCTCAGGTATTGATATGAGTTAAGCGGGGATTGGGGTTTCTTGTGAAGTGCCACAACGTTATCGAGCAATATTATTAGAGCCAGCAAGTACAGAAGTTCCTAAATAATCAAAGGCGGTAGAAGAAGTAACAAGTCTTATGTTTTTGTTGAAGAAGAACCCATTATAGTTTAGTCTAGACTCTTGGTTTCATAATTTCCCATTTTTTGTTCGATCGAAAAGCAAATGTTATAAAAACTGCATGTTTTATGTACACTTGATGAATATGCACTTCCTTTTACCTCATATTTATCTGCTAATCCTGGGCTTAATTGCTTGAAAGCAGCTGCGCTCGAGTTTAACTGACAAATTGTGCACTTTATGATCGTATTGCCAAAGAAAACATTAGTAAAATTAGCATTAAGCACGCTTTTTCAACTATATTTTCAACAGTTTTAGAGCTGCTTCAAACAGTTTACAGAGAAAAGACAGAACTATAAGTGGTGACAAATCATAGTGTTCATAGATGAAAAACTTTCCCGCGCTCTGGATGGCAAGAGCGTAATCACTGTTCCTCAGCAGCAAAAAAATTTCCTCGTGACCGGGGCTAAAAAAGCTATTAGAGCCACATTAATGGAAGCTTAGTTACTGTACTTCTTGACGTTGTATTTTTAGTATTTATTTTACACAAATTCCCTGAACATACGTTTTGAAACTGGCGTTTTGAGCACATTAAAATACACTAACAGCTCTTCGCTACGCTTCCTCGATAATCGATCTAAAAATACCTTTCGTCGTGATCTGAATTTTAAGGAAATTGAAAAAAAAATTGAAAACTGGCCCGCCCAGTTCCTAACGCATGCGCACAGCCGTATCACCAAGGTCGAGGCAGCCATGAAAAGCTGTTCACCCTTATTAGGGCTCACGTGTTCAAAGGCCTTTTCCTGCCAAGGCAAGTATAAAGTACTCCTTTAAGCGTCAGCTCAACACAACACGTATGGGAGCTGTTGGCTGGAAACTGCACGGCAGGTCTCCCACGGCATGCGCTGGGAAGGCGGATTAGCATTTTGCCGATCTGTGCGCCAGTAAATGCAGTAAGACAAACTGGCCAGGAGGTGGGTTGGTGTACGTGTGTCACCTGCTTTTAAGTTTGTCTTTTCTTTCACTGAATGCTTGCAGTAATGTGCAAGAAGACCTTCTTCATACAACAGCTCTAGGCGCCTTAAAGTCTAGGTGTGTGGCAGTGGTGCATAGCACTCAAGCCTTTCGATGGGCCGTCGTTGGTGCCATGAGGTGGGGCCTACTGTGTTGCAGCTCATAAGGATATAGCCTCTCGTTCGGACGTTGTTTAGGGTGTCGTCACGCGTGGCGAAGCCATAAATGCCTCTGCGAAGGAAGCAGCAAAAGAATACTAAGATACATATACTATACTATGATACATATTCCATGATTCTTGAGACTGCAAGTATCGTAGAAATCAACTCCCACCCGTTATTGGCCTGGGAATGTTTCAGCCTGTGAGTGGCCTGCAATTCATTGTATTTGAAGACCACTAGACGCCCACAGCATGTTTCTCGAAATTGGTCTTATACTTACCCATCGTTTAAACTTTTTTCACACATCATTAAGGTTGCTGTTTTTATAGTAAAACTGTTTCGAACTTTAATTTCAAATTATTAAACCCTTGGCGACGGATCTAGTGGATCTGATCAATCGTTTTCTATCTATAACGATGCAAACTATTTATTTCTGAACCATTTATCAAGCTCCATGATTAAAGTGATTACTTGATAAGCGGCGAATTCGGGAAGGATAGATCTTTATCACAGATACGTTATCTTGTAAATTCTGGTCAATCCTGCCAATTTTACACATAACCTAGAAACATGCACATTTACTGGGGAAAATCCACAACCAATTTCGCTATTCATTAACTAGTCGTTTACCGGACAAAACTTTATACTTTCCTGGAAAGTAATATTAATTAATAAGATAGGTGTGTCTCTACTCGCCTCCCAGGTTCACGTTGCTCGCCCCCACTTAGAAAAATAATCTGAAATTCTTGTCTAGAACAGTCTGATGTCCAATTTACGTAATTATGTAGGAGCTAAAGTTATAGTAATCTATTATCTTTAGGATTTAGAATATTGATTTTCTAACATATCAAGTGCGTTCTATGTTCCAGTGTAAACTTGTTTCCAGCAAATTATTATCCTTATATTCAAAACATGTAAATAGCAAAATTAGGTCTTCCAGTGCAAAGTGCTTTTGATCACATGTAAATTAAGCACTGTCGAAATAATATACAGTCGAACCTCTTCTTACGGACACCTCTATAATACGGACACCTCTCTATTACGGACAGTTCTTTTGGTCCCAGAAATGCCAAAAATCCTACATTCCCTACCTCTACAATAAAGACACCTCTGCAAAGTGGACACTTGGTTCTGTCCCTTTGGAGTCCGTATTAAAGAGATTTGACGGTATTGTCATTAGTGTTACTCGTGTATAGGAAAAGGAAGGCAGATAATTTGTCGGTAAACAGACAAAAAGGTTTTGAACAGCCAGGGGCCAACAAAGAGCCATGCACCTGCAAACTGCGTCCAATCTAAGTCATAATTTATGACATAGCAATATTTTCATTACCGCAAATAGTGTCGTCCATTAACAACCACACCGGGATATAACTGTGAAAACTAATACATCTCATCTAGCTGGTTTACGGGTTGCGGATAGGATAATATTCCATTGAAAAGTCAAAAAGTGTCGAATGTTTTTAGGAAACAGACGTTTCGGGAATATAACCCTTCTTCAGTATCAAGAAAACCGTTATTAGTAGGGCTACCGGCAATTGTCATAGACATAAAAATGAGGCACGAGCGCGTGTAAATAATAGCGAGCGCAGCTGAAATTGATATTTAGTCCTTTAGGTTTGAATGGTTCCTAGCTGCAAGAAAACCCTCAATTCACGCTGCTTCGGTTGGATGTCGGTTCCACAGCATAGAGCCATCCCCGGCCCGTGGAGTTAAAACTTTGCGCCACAGGAAGCTCAGGAGTGTTGTCGCAAATGCGTATACTTTGCAAACGTTCGCTAAAACGACTCCTGAGGTTTCGTTCAGTTTCACCAATGTAAAGAACTGGGCATCGGCGGCAGGATATGCAGTAAAGAAGATTCCCCGATTGGTTAGAATGTAAAAAAAATGCACTTTATTTGACTGTCAATGTATTTAGTACTTAAGTACTAATTGAGGACACTGTTTTCTATGTCTCTTACTGGAGACGGGACCGCCATTTTAAGTGGTCATCCGAGCCACGCGAAAGTCTAGCCGCTTGCAGTACAAAGGTAGTACCTTCATTTCTCAGTTATTTTAAGACCCTGAGTATTGGTCCGGCCCCTGGAATCGAACCCGCGACCTCCCGCTCTGCAGTCACACGCTTTACCGACTGAGCGAACACTGCCGCGGTTGAAAGTTCTATCGTAGAAATCCTTTGACTTCGGTGCTAAACGAGTGGCATGCGAGATCAAGACGCACCCGGGCCGTATCAACAGTTGCGAAACTCTGTTCGGATGGGTGCAGCACGTCATGACGGATAATAGTTGCATTGATGTGAGTTAGGCTTGTGGGTTTTCTGGTCATTGTTAAGAAAAAAAAAATGCCCCAACATTATCGAGAGAAAGAATTGTAGCAACAAATACTGAAACTTGTAACAATTAAAAGCAGCAGTCAAAGACTGAAAACACACCTAGCATTTTTGTTAAAGGAAGAACGATTGTTTTAGAACTTCCTTTTTTAAGTTCGATCGAGAAGTAAATGATATAAAAACCGCATATCTTATGCATACGTGATAATATGCCGTTTATAGATTTGCCTTTAATTCCTGTTTAGCCTGGGATTAATGTCTTAAAGGCAGCTACGCCCCATGCCTTCTGGATTTAACTGCTCAGTAGTGTAGTTTATGATCGTATATGCGTATTTTCAAATTGGCACTTAAGCACATTTCCAGTTATTGGCCTATCTGCATTAGCAGACAAATTAGGCATTTCCATTGAAACATCTAAAACAAACATTTTTGGGTGATATTTTTTAACTTCTATTGGGCCGTTTAAACCTGGCAACACTTGCATTTGTAAATAGAAAGAATAATGGCTTTACAACAAGTGACTGACAAGAAAAACATATTATAGTATATTTGGAACGGTCAGCGGTCAGCGGACAAGATGGCTGCTTATTTCTTCGCTCTTAATAAGGAAATTGTAGTGAATTTGAGTCTAGTGTTCTGTAGCGTGTGATATATTATATCTGTTTAATATTGTGTGTCTACCAGTATGCCGGCTATTAATTGCGACCAATTTACCAAAATTTTAGACGACAAACTCATTCCACTTAACTCGACAATCTCCGAGTTAAAAAAATCAGTTAATGAGGCGATGAGGTTTCTCGAAGTTGTGAATGCGAAGTAAGATGAATTGCTAGAGATGATGAAGAGCTCAAAGGATGAAAGAAAGGCTTTGAAAGGAATTCCATTGACGAATATATCAAATTATCTTCATTGTCTTTGTTGAAAAACAAAATGAAACAGCACTTTATCAAAGATTACTAGACATCTGTACGTTGTCTGGGTAACTTTAAAATGGAAATAATACTGTTTTGCAACGTATGAATTTTAGTCTCTTTAATATACTGGTAATTTACTTAACTCTTTGTGTGCGTTTCTCTGTTTTCTTTGTTCTTGTGTCCCTGACCTAAACATTTAAACATCTTTTCTTTTAACTGGCTGCCTGGCATTTTTAACTCTTAGGTTATTTCGGGCAGCCAGCGCCCCTATCATTGTCTGTACTATTGTTATAAATTTTTATTTCTTGTATATTATGGGGTGAAATAAAGTGTTGTTGTTGTTGTTATTAATCGATTTTGCCTGGTTTTTGCCAGAAGCAAATTTTGTCCGCGGCGCCTTTGAAGACTTCCCCGTCTCAGACAAAATTTTAAAAAGAGCGTGGCAAACCATCCGAATCTTTTGTTTGGCGTTGATGATGACAGAAAATTTGTCTCAATTACTAAACAACTTTCTCGCTAATGAAAAAATTAGGCCCTATCTCTAATACTCTGGTTGGATTAAGGTCAGTTGATAACTGACGCTACAAATTCACTTTTAGCAGCTGTGCTAAAAAATTCGCAGGGGACTTACAATTGCCAATAAAAGTTCTGAATCAAACAGGATACGCAATATACAGAGCAGTAATTCAAAGTTGTTTGACAGCATACGTACAATTCCACAGATACGTCGCAAACGTAAGCATGAACTCAACGGCGAACGGATCCAGCGGGTCTTGGAGCTGCTTAAATTTTTCTGCGTTGAAAATCGGAGGAACCGTTACCTACTGTCTGATCATCATCGTTTCACTGGTCGCAAATTGTCTCATTGCTATCACCGTTTGTAAAACGCCGAACTTAAAAAAAACGATCAATTTTTTCATCGCAAACATGGCCTCATCTGATTTGTTGTTTCCAGTATTCTCGATACCTTTTAAATTGTCACTCTTGCACGCCAACTCGTTTCTTATCGGTGGTCAGCTTGGTCAGGCCTTGTGTAAGCTTGTCGCTTTCTTTGGTAACGTTTCCGTTGTCGTTTCGACTCAGAATCTGATTCTGATAGGAGTGGATCGATTTGGAGCCGTGGTATTTCCACTCCGTTCCCCACTCATCAGATCCAAGCTGTGTCTCTTCTTCATTAATGCCACGTGGATCTTTGCCATAGTTTTTAATTCGCAATACTTATTGACCCTAGAGCTCGTTGAACACCCGGAGGTAGCCTGGTGTGTACGGAGATGGAAGAGAGTATTCGGAGAATCCTCGTCCTTTGCCAGTTTCCTACTAGCTTACAACATTCTGTTTACCTACATCCCTGTGCTGCTGTTAGTCATTCTTTACTCCATCTTTATCAAGCTCAACACACAGGTACACCCAAGTGAACAGTCGACCAACAATCAGCAACAGTGGAAAAGAAGAAACAGAAACGTTCTTCAAATGTCCATTGCAATCGTAACCGTGTTCGTGCTTTGCTGTTTACCTTACAATACTAACCACTTAACCATAGAGTATCAGGACAGTTCTGCCCATTTCTCGTGTAGTTTCCAGATATACTTTAATGTAACCTACTTTCTGATACACGCTTACTGTGCTATCAACCCGATTATCTGCTTCATGTTTAGTAGTAATTATCGCCAAGGTGAAAAAAGACTCATGAAATGTTCTTTTGTACAGGCCTAAGTCGCAAAAATGTGCTTTTGATATGCATGAATATGTCACGAGTTAGAGGTTCATGGAAAATTTGCCAATAAAAACTATCATGACTGTTAATGTACTTTGAGAAATAAAATGTGTCCCAGTTTATGCCCCACCTTCCTTTGCCCTGCCATGACTGCGAAGAGTGACAGCATCAATTCAGAAGCAGTTACCAAGTCCGTTCCTCGAGGCTTTCTGAAAGTCACGCTGTTGGAGAAAGGTATGAAGTTTTCATTTGTTTTAATCGCCATAATCCGATACTTTTAACTGTCATCTAAACCGATAATGTCTATTTTAAGAAAGTTTTTATCTTCAAGTTCCCATTTGATTGTAAAACTCAATTGAAATCGAATTCCACCATGAAAGTCAGAGGATTTTTTACGAGTCACTGATCTGACCTGTTCCGACACGTTGAGGAGATGTTATAAAGCATTTTAAGTTTCATTGATATTATAACAGCACGGTCAATCTTCCTGGAGTGATTTTGTTGTTCAAAATAAGAAATGCTGGTGGAGAGAGAAAATACTTAATTACAGCGAGTAACTTAACGGAGCTTACGTTAACCTTATATAAAAGTAGTAAGAACGTACTTTTGAAATGTTTTTTTATTCGTTTTATTTTGTATTACAGTATTGTTTGTTTAGATTTTTTCCCCTGGGATGGGGTCTTTTTTGACACTTTTGATTGACCTTTCGTTTCCCACCATGGGAAATTTGATCCAAAAATTTTGAAATTTGTCAAATCCCCACCCCTTGCCGGCACCTCCTCCCCCCTCCCCCCGGGGTTTACATTGATAGGTGCATAACAGTGCCAGATCCAGACCTTGAAATAATGGGGGGGGGGGGTCCAGGTCCTCCAGACCCTTAGATGGGGTAGGGGGGAGCCAGTCTCCAAAAAAAGTTTTTCGGCCTTTCGGGTCTTGGTTTGGTCTAAAACTAAGGGGTGACCCGCGCCCCCCGGGTCCCTCCCTTGGATCCGCCACTGAATAACACTCAGGGATTGACCATGCACCCTCTCAGCAGCAGAGCTGTTCATTCGCTCGCTTGATCACTTGGCGTCACTCAACAAATTAGGAGCTTCTGCTCGCAGAGTGAGATGGACCATTAGAAACGTTATGGGAGTTGGGAAGGGGAAGTACAAAATAAATATGCAGGGAGGAAATAAGCTGAAAAATAAAAAAAAATGTTAACGAAAAATGATATGTATCACAATAGTTTTCAACGATCGATTTCTAAATGAGACAAACACAATGGCTTAGTATTCATTAATCTGCTCCCTGTAGTATAGCAGGGGCAGCGATTCCTTTTTCCTTTTTTCCGCCTCGTGAACATTTAATTTCGCGTGCATTTCCCCCTGACTATCTGAGAGCCTGGAACAGCTCAGTTTAACCAATGTAAAGAAGGAGGAATGGTCACGGATGCAAAAAAGACTGAGTGCCGCGTATCAGCGACAGAACTGATGTAATTGCAGGTGTTTAATCGAGGCCGCTGACATGCGCGGGGAACAGAAGACGTGTCATCTGTGGAACGGACCATCATGTTTCTTAAACGTACCTCGCGCTTGTATACCAGAAAAGGTGGTTGCATGAGGAAGGACACACCGAGTTTGCTCATCCGTTGATCAGAATAGAGTGCGAAAGTTCTGTAGTAGAAATCGTTTGACCTTGATGTTTAACCGGCCGTATATGAGATCAAGGCGTACTCTATCAACGTTACGTCAGGCAATTTTAGCACGGGAGCAGCGCGTCATGACGGCTAATAGTTGCATTGATATGAGTTAAGCGGGTGGGTTTTCAGGTCATTCTTAAGATAAAATGCCACAACATTATCGAGAGACAAAAATTGTAATAATGAAATACTGAAGGTTGTAGCAATTAAAAACAGTCAAAGACTGACGGAAGAAACACGTACGCCTTGTCTTTTTGTTTAAGGAAGAACGTGTGTTTTATAACCTCCTATTTTAAGTTCGATCGAGAAGTAAATGCGTAAAAACTGCATATTTTATGCACACGTGATAACATGCATTTATGGTTTTGCCTCAAATTCCTGTTTAGCCTGGGCTTTTATGGCTTAAAGTCAGCTACGCCCCTCAGTGCTTCTTGTATGCTATCAAATAGTGTAGTTGATGATCGAATATGCGTATTTTCAAATTGGCACATCAACTAACAACACTTGCATTTGTTAATGGAAAGAATCATGGCTTTACAATAATTGACAAGAAAAACACATTTTAGTGTATTTAATCGATTTTGTCTAGTTTTTGCCAGGGGGAAAATTTTGTCGGCGGCGCCTTTGAAGATTGTCCCGTCCCAGGCAAAATTTAAAAAATGCGCGACAAACCATCCGCATCATTTATTAGGCGTTGATGATGACAGGATATTCCGCTATTCATAAGCTCTCATTACATTTTCGCCGAAAGCATATTAGTTTTGAAAAGTAGGTTGTTACATAAATGACAATAAACTCAGTCCTTTCTCTTTTAAATGACTCCCGTCATTAAACGCCCCTCTTGGAACCCTAAAAGTAGTAATCGCTATTATATATAGATGAAGTGTCACAACGTTATCGAAAAAAAAGAGCTGTAGCCAAAAAGTACTGAAGTTTGTAACAACTAAAACTGAGCAGTCAAAAAAGTCTGAACAAGCCCTTGTCAGAAGAACCTCTGCTAGTTTCTCTTTGCCGACAGCAGACTTTTGGTTTTCCCATTTTTAGCTCGATCGAGAAGTAAATGTTATAAAAACTTCATGTTTTATGCACACGTGATAATATGCACTTATTTTTTCCTCATATTCACCTGTTAACCCTGGGCTTAATGGCCTGAAGGCAGCTTCGCCTCCGCTTCCTTTGGTTAACTGTCAAACTTGTGTAGTTGATGATGGTACTACCAAAGATATCATTTTTAAATGTGTTAAAACACACTTTTTTAATCATCTTCTCAATTACCTTCTAAATACAACCACCTGACCTAAACGAAGAGTTCTGGTTGGTTTATAACATACTAATACCCCACTGTTTCTGTCAAAAGGTCAGTTAGCGGATAATGCCGGAACATTACAATACAAAGTCATTCTTTGAAGGCCTCAGAGGACAGCTGTGCTGTGGCTTCGCGGGGGGCTTGCAATTGTCAATAAAAGTTCTGCCACTCAAACAGCATACGCAGTATACAGAGCAATAATTCAAAGTTACTTAACTGCATGTGTACAATTCCGTAGATACGTCGCAAAGCTAAGCATGAACTCAACGGCGAACGGATCCAGCCAGTCTTCGAGCTGCTTCACTCAGTTAAATTCCACAGCGTGGAAAATCGGAGGAACCGTTGCCTACTGTCTGTTCATTATCGTTTCACTGGCTGGAAATTCTCTCATTGTTATGATCGTTTATAAAACGCCGATAAATTATTTCATAGCAAACATGGCCTCATCTGATTTGCTGTTTCCAATATTCTGGATACCTTTGAAACTGTCAAAGTTGACTGCCACCACGTTTGTTATCGGTGGTCAGCTTGGCCAAGCCTTTTGTAAGCTTGTCTTCTTCTTTGCAAACGTTTCCTTTGCCGTTTCGATTCAGAATCTGATTCTGATAGCAGTGGATCGCTTTGGAGCCGTGGCGTTTCCACTCCGTTCACCACTCATCAGATCCAAGCTGTGTCCTTGCTTCATTCTCGCCACGTGGATAGTTTGCCGTAGCTTTCAATTCGCCATACTTGTTCACTTTCAAGCTAGTTGAACACCCAGAGGGAACCTGGTGTGTTCAGAAATTGAAAAAAGCATTCGCAGACTCCTCATCCTTTGTCAGTTACCAACTAGCTTACCACATTCTGTTTAAATTCATACCTGTGCTGTTGCTAGTCATTCTTTACTCCATCATTGTTATCAAGCTCAAGACACAGGTACACCCAGGTGAACAGTCTGCCAACAGTCAGCAACAGCGGAACAGAAGAAACAGAAACGTGCTTCAAATGTCCATTGCTATCGTAACAGTGTTTGTGCTTTGCTGGTTACCAGACTCTATCAACTTTTTTATTCTATGGTATCAGGACAATTTCACGTATTTTTCGTGTAGTTTCTGGATATCCTATGAAGTCTCCATTTATATGAACGGCTTGGAAACTAAAATTTCGAGGACGTTTTTGGACTTTTTACATTTAGGGCATGAATTTTTCGTCATTTCAGGCCATGGAACCTAAAAATGAGCCTAGCTAGCTGTAAAAAGGGGCAATACGGAGGCAATACGTCCTAGCCGGCATGATCACATGCTGTTTACGGAAAATTCCCTCATCCATGTCAGGAAATTCTGTATTTTAAAGCCTCCCCTAGGGCATGACTCAGCAATTGAGGACATTTCTGCTATGTTTTCATTGTTGGTTAGCATGCAAGGATTTTTCGCATGCCTATTGTCAATGATTTGCTCACTGGTAATAGAGGGGGTGGCCCCAGAGTGGTTTTGCATTGAAATAGGGTCCTTTCGATATTTTTGACCGCGCACTCCTGAGAACTAGGTAGTCGCATGTAAGCGAGGCTTAGAGGACACAAGATGGCTGACTCTGCTGCAGGCGGTTTTCACCACAGGCGGCCCAGACGTAGTATGTGTCTCTGAATGAATATATTAATATCCACATGGACAAATTATTGCGATGAGTCGTCGAAACTCCCATGGACTAAAATAGTCTAAAAGTCAAAATATAACAAAACAAAGCTAAGATACCTTTAACTGAACGTATCCTTGTCTTTCCTGGCCGGTTTAAGCGGCATTTTGTTGAGTTTTGAAATTGTAGGTACTATCCACTAAAGAAGAATTAAAGGCTGGCTACAAAACAAACAGACCATCTCCACGCGCCTTCACACGAAGCGCTATAAATTCGAGAATAATCGACGAATCTGCTCCAAATAACCATCGGCTAATCTGCAGCTAACGTGTGCTCCTGCTTCTGGCTCGCTTGCTCCACAAAACCCATCGCAACTGCACAATAATTGCTTGCTCATCAAC